AATTTTAGTCTATGAATCTTACATTAAATTCATCTAAAAGGGGCTTTCTAACCTCACCACCTCACATCCATAACCTCATTTTCTTAGTACATACTGTAAGGTGAACATTGACATTTCAATAAAAAAAATGATTTCTGACTAAGCAATGTGGAGTTTTGGTAGTTTCTCACATTGTCTGATCAGCTTCTCACTTTGTCTAAACCACCAAAACCTACATGTTCTGCTTTTGTTTTCTATGATTTTTTTTGTATGTGAACTTTTTTGTAAACTGTAAATTCATTTCCAGTTGCCATCGACTCCTCTCTTGTTCCTCTTCATTCCTCTTCATTGACTGGTCCAGGATTCCACAGCCATCACAGCTGTTTTCATTTCCCTGTTCAGCTCTCTGTCATCTCTGTGTCTCTGTCAGACTGTCTTGTGCTCTCTGTAGCCTTATGTCATCAGCTCAGGTCAGCTGACCAGCCTGGGTTGCCTGGCCCCAATGCACATTTGTACTGTATTTCGATTGCACAGTGTGAGCATTGCCCTTGCAGAATATGCAATTAGGCCTTCTGTGCGACCAAAACGGACATCAAAAGTAGGCACGTACTGGTGCAGAACACATCCCCCGGCTGTGAAGCTCAAGCACCATCCTAGCAGGATGGAACAGGAGTGTGTGTGTGGGGGGCACATTCTTTTAGTAAATATTGCAGTGCCCTCCTTCAGCCTTCAAAGAGCAAAACAATCCAACCACAGCATTCTGTTTCTCTTGCTCTGCTTTCCACAGTAAGAAAAGGCAGCATGCATTATAATAGACATGGCCAAATAAAGCTGCTAGCAAATGTTTTGTGAATCAAAAAGCCTTTGTTATGTAGTACATAGCTGCAAGCCATTTATTTTTGTTTTCGTTTTCCTTATTGCTGACTCAAAATAAGCCTTATTCCTTACATTTTTTTCAGTAAACCATTAAATTTCTTTTGCAACCTCTCTGCCTTGCATGTCTGCACCTGGGCCCCTTTCCTTCCATCCATCATTTCATTATAAGAATCACCTGACCCTAATGTGTAATTTACCCCTTTATTTATAAGTGTTATAAATTTAATCTCATCAAGGCAGTGTATACCTCCACTGCCACACGAGGACTGTCCTTGCCAGTACAAATTCAAGCACTTAAAACAACCTGCCTATGCTTTTTTTTTTGACAAGCGAGCTATTGCAGTTGTGTAACTTGGGCTGACTGAGTGAAGCAGAACCCACAAGGCACTAGTAGAACAATGACCCGTTAGCAACAGACAAATCTGCTCTGAGACAAGAGTCATGGTGAGCAGAACACACAGGCTGAACTTTAAATTTGTAGCATTTATAAATGCTTCCATCAGTTAATTGCAACATTTAATGAACTTTTTAATTGGCACAAATTGACATTTTATTGTGTCCTTTAATACAAATAAATTTATATTTAGCAAGCTCTACCCCAGCTGCCTCATTGAATAGCACAAACTCAGCAGGGCTCTGAGATGCTTAGGATGCAGTCAGCTGGTGGAACCTCAGGTCACAACCAAACAGGATGAAGCTGCTTTCAGCTACTATGCTGCACACAGTTGGAACGAACTTCCTGATTACCTTAAATGTGGCCCAACTCTGCCTTTTTCAAGTCTCAACTGTTTTCCTGTGTCTATGTTTGACTGGTTTCTAAGCTGCACCCTCTGTGCTGAAACCGCTAGACGATCATGTTTCAGACCTTTTACATTGTCTATTTGTTTTTAATCTTCATTTTATGTATTCTATCTCATTTTGACATTGATTTATTTTAATTTTATCTTAACTGGTTTTATTCTGGTTTTAAACCGTATTATTGTTAATACAGTTACTGTTTTTCTTTGTCTGTGTAAAGCACTTTGAATTGCCTTGTTGTATGAAATGCTTTCCTTGCTTTTCCTATCATTATTATAATTATTACATGCTTTCAATAATTAGTCTTTCTCATCGTGGTGGGTGAATGATTCCATGTGTGAATATCAGTATGTATAGTCATTTTTTTATTGTTCCCCTCACAATAATCCCATTTGAGCATCACAGATGATGATAAGTATTGAATGGCTCCTACAGAGTTTTCACAAAGATACAAAGACAGAATGGTGTGACGCACAAATTCTGTTGAATTTTATGGTTTTGCATCTGTATGACAACTGGAATTTGTCTTGCAATTTTCTGTAATTTTGCTAATTGTTTTACACTAATGACTAATTTGCTTTCAAATGCATTATGCCTGAGTACAAAGGCAACCTCAGCAGCTGGCCCAGCCTTTTAACGTTCCTGATGGCCAAACTGCAGGTCATTGGCTCTGCAGTTACAATGGCTGATGAGTAAAGTGCAATCAAAATGTGCGATCATGTTGCACAATTACTGACGGAACATTTCCTGAGCCAAGAATGTTTTTGTTTTGCATGTTCACTGATAATGAAATTGATGGTTATCTTAGAATGCAGGAATACTGGGCTGAGCCCTCTTGATAATGGCACTGAGTAAAATCCAAGGAAAAGGTTCATTTATTTTAGTGCACATTCCAAATCTGAGAAGAAATGTTCTCAACAGTGTTGTCAACAAACTCCATTAGAGCTTCGCAGCAGAACTGACTAGTAGTAGTTTCACTATTTTAGTTTGTTAATGGCAGCACTTTTTTTTTTTTTAGGAAACTATTAAGTTAAAAAAACACTGATATATTCTATGGGTGACATGTTGCTCTTAATTGTCCTTATTAAAGGAGTACATGCACCACAGATAACATAGGATCTGCTCTGTGTGATGCCAGTTGAGTTATATGATAACACTTGGCTGATGACCTCTTGATCACATAGCCAGTTGAATTTTGATGAATTTGATGGAAATATTCTCTCCTTCAACAAACAGAGAAGTTCTCTGCAACTCTGAGACAAAATTGAATTGCTTCTAATCAAATGGCTTAGTGTGTGTGTGTGTGTGTGTGTGTGTGTGTGTGTGTTATGGTCTTCTCGTCCCAAGTAGAACTACAGAATTAAACACTATGCATCACTCGAGCGGACAAGAAATGAGCTCTAGGAGCTTTCAGATGACAAATGCTAGCAATGGAAATAAAGCAATTAGTAGCACTGCCTGTCTAGAAGCCACGCTAACTCAATAAAACGTCTAAGATCTAAGTGCATTTTTTTCATCTCAAATGACAATTCTGAGACTATTTTTGTTTTGTTGCCCTTCAATGAATTAATCCTACTAAGAATTTTCTTAAATTAAACTGTATTTTGTAAGCCTTTTAAAAGATTTACATCTTCAGTAACCAATAGACAAGGTAAAGCAGACAGAATAAGGAAGTCAGAAAATACCACAGATGTGACAGATATTACTATTTGTAAAGTGAGGCTAGTATGTTTTAGTGAGGCTGGTTCCAGATTGGTTCAGTGACTGAAGTTAAACAAAATGGCACTAGACCCTGATTTATAAGACTTTGACTGGCCAAAGTCTAGTCTAAGTCATCTACAAACCCAGTTGCTACTGTATGGCAGCTGAAAGCATAGGGACTGTATATTTTCATTTAAGAACTTTTCATTTCTCAAAGTCATCACCCACAGCAGTTTAGATACATCGCTAGTTTCACTGGGAAACTTAAAGTCAGTGAACATTGTTTATTGCCCAGTTGGATAAAGCTAAAGAGTGACTACACCGCTGGTGCCAAGTGGTGCCCAAGTCTCTCTGAGGTTTAAGTGCTCACTAAGTGAAAGTTCTTCACTATCACTTGCCAGTGCACAGACAGTTTCTCTGAGACATGTACCAGATGGGATAGTAACAAACCTGCCTACACTTGAAAGAAATTAAAGGAAATGGAGAGAAGGAGTGTATCATTTGGCATTGTTTGACATTGATGATGGATGCAGTGTAGGAGGAACAAGGGTGCACTTTCATCAGCGTAGCTGGCTGAAGTGCCTTCATCATAGAATGACAAACGATTCACTCTCCGCCTCCATAGCCTCGAGGTTCTCTGAGGGCCGCTCAGTCTGTGAGGCGTAATTGTGGTGCCATGAGCGAATATTATTTACATTATTCTTTCATTTGACATGCATTTTAGTTACAAGTATCTATTTAAATAATGCTTTGTGCACAGTGGTACTGCGGTGTTTGTGAAGTATTTGAAATATAGGCTACTACTTTAAAGCAGTTCTTGAATCTGCCACGGTATATTTCACTGTAGTATGCCGATTAGGCAGGAGCAAACCTTCTGTATTAGCCAGTCAGTAACGAGTCCTGTAACCTGCATGTTCATGAATAGAGGGCAC